CACTCACAAGTCTGATCATTGTAGTTCTTTGAAAACTCATCTACTTTCCTTCATTTTTCAGGGACTTTGAGGCCAGTGTGGATGGAGCTCATTGTTTCAGGGTGCTGTGTTCGCACCCATGCTGCTGGGACACCGAGCGCCGCTGCACCAGAGGAATCAAACGCCACAATCCAGCACGCATGAGGAAACACTCTCTCAAAAATGGTGCGTTTCCTTTCCAGATTTCTGGATATTGCATCATTTCTTTGTGTCATCTGCATCCAGTCCCTTATTCATTTGATCTTTGTCTGTATAATGCCACATTGTTATTCTGGTCTCTTGTAATACGAGCAGAGGACTTTCCATCTCTGAGTATAGTTAATGTCTCTGAATGGGCTGGACGGGGGAGACCGATTAAAGAAAGGCCACTGTACGGTGCTGACACAGAGGCATCTTTGAATGATGTCTCTTGTGTTTCTCTCAGCAAACAGACACAAGACACTCAGAAGATTAAGAGGTAAGTCTAATACATCACTGCATTAATACAAAAGTGATCAGAACTGTTATTTTTCTGTCCCACTACTCACAGTCTCTGGTTATTGTTTGGCAGGGCAAATCTTTCCTTCCCAGACATCATGTTGCCCAGCGATAAACCAAACAATATGCTCAAGGTATGTAGAGGTTACACTTGACTTCCAAAATATCAGTAATCATATCTGAATTATATAAATCGTGACTTGTGATTGCAGTTAAATACAGTTGAGATCAGTCCTTTGATGGGCCGCTCTGAGTTGCCACAGTGTCCAGTGGTTATGTGGATTCCCAACCCGCACCACGAGCCTCAGTGGCTCCGCCAAAACAAGTAGGCCTGACCTTACAATAATTGCTTCCCATTGTATCAACAAGGTTTTATAAATCATATAAGTAGCACTGCATATTATAGCATTTTTAAACCACCTTTATGAGTTATGGATATCAAACATGTGATGACCATATGTCCTCTTTTTCCTGGACATGTCTTGGCCTGTCCGGGGTTTCTAAATTGCCTTAAATAGCTGTGTTTTGGCTTTGTTTTCCTATTGACGTTCTCTCTACAATCCTCATACATTACATGTACGAAAAATTTAAGTGCTGTAAATGTGCATACATTTAAAAAAAATAGAAATTATAAAAAGCTTTGCAGGATTTGCGATGCTGATGACCGTTAAAACGCGTTATCACAGTCTGTGAAAAGGGTCCATAGAAATACAAATTCAAAAACTGGACATTTTAGGCAATTTTAAAAAGTCCTGACCAGAACGTATGGCTACTTGAAAATGAATTGCATACTTGTTCATTAGTCACATGTACAGTGTTTTTTTATACTTGCATTTAACTGATGTTTGGCATCTGCTTTTCACTATGAAGGTCTAAATCTCCAAACATCACTATAAAAGAGTTAGTCTGCCTTCCATCCAAGCCGTCCATAGCGGTGAGTGACCAGGCAATGTGTCTGGTATAATTATGCAGCCATAATAATGCGAGAGCATCATTAGTAGATGCCAAAACTTTATATATATTTACAAAAAAAAAAAAAGATTGTATATGTCATTTAAAATATGTATTATTAGTATTAATACATTTTGGATATATTCAACTGCTTAATAATAATAATACATAAATTTGTCTCTCTGTATAATTATGACTTTTGTACAGTCAAACCAAAAATTATTCAGACACCAGATATCATTTTTACTAGTGGGTCCAGGACACTATAGTTCATTTATGTAAGTGAGGATAGCAAAATAAAGTAAACTGTGACATATTATACCCAAAAAGTCTTCATACAGTGGACTATCAGTAGAATTGATAAAAATCTGGGACCAAAAATTATGCAGACACTTTGACCTGACCATGTTTAGCTTAAGTGTTTTTTCTTTAATTGCTAATGCGACCTTTTTACACCACAGACTGAACAAAATTAAG